CTCATTCATTGTCTGATCGTGTGTGTTTGTGTGTGTTTTACCTCTTTCTTGGTAAAGGTGATCAGTGCGGTCAGTAGGAGGCGTGTGAACTTGATTCTGTTGAAAAGTGCCAAAAACTGCTGATGCTGTAAAAATAAAGCATGAGAACATTAAACAGGCTCACGTGTACATCCCAAACTATTAATACACATATCTCCTAATTTGTCTTTGAAGCTTTACAAGGCACAAGAAATCACAAAGGCTGACTCTTTGTTTTGTTTTGTTTTGACCACCCCAGACCAAGGCCATGTTTGGGTCTTATTTCTTCCTCCTTCATTATTATTATTATTACAGTAATCAAACAGCTGGAAATTCCAGAGCAGAGTCTCCAAAGGTCATACGAGTCCCACAGGCTGACAAAGAGCAGATGGGAAATAAATTGTAACAGGCCAAGGTTGAGAAGGAGCATCTGAGGTTTAGTTTTTGGCTGAGATGTTGGGGTACTAGGCTTAATCAATGAAGAACAGTGAGGCAATTTGGTTGTCTACTTGTAGTCATATGTATTTTATGTCAAAACTGCAACCACATCGGCCAGAAACACCTCGTGTGCAGCTACAGGTTTGGTAAATGCTATTCCAAAAACATGGCTTTAGCAAAAAGAAAAACTCCACAGACCCAACTCACCTCCCGCTCAACCTCTGGGTCACGTTGCTCACCCTGTCGACTGCGTGTGCTCTGAGGCAATTGGAGAAAAAACATAATATAACCGATATAATATTTAGCATTGACATCAGCAGTATTTCATTGTAATGGCAAACGCTGTGGCTTAAACTAGCCGAGAACAAATACCTTGACTTTCCTCTGTAACTCGTCCTCCACATCTTTCAGCATACCTAAAACAAAGGACAGAAAGATTACCTTGGCTTTGTTTTCTCTGAACCAACAGTATGCATTATTCTGTGATGGCCTCAGCATATGTGAAGCAGTGGACTTAAACTATCACTATGCAGTCCTCGTACCTGTCACCCGCAGGTCTGTGACATTGTTGGCCATCTTGAAGCCATAGGTCATTGCCTGGAAATCCTCCTACAGGAAACATTCACATATAAATACGACACAGAGTTATAAAAAAGCCAACTGCAATTTTAACTTTTTAAAATACATTTCTACATAAATCCCAGCAGAGGAAGCAGAAACAACAAGGATAAAAACATCCCCTAACCCCCAGGGAGTGTAAAAGCCTGAGCAGTGGCTCAAATATTGCGACACACACACAAACACACACTGACAGCCTGCGGGACATTGTTTACCTCCTCAAACACAGCAGCTTTGTTGACTTTCTCCCGGGCAATGTCACACACCTTCAGGATGCCCAGGGCGAAGGCTTTGAGGGCTGGCTCCTCAATCAGGTCGGGATTGTGGACGTACAGACAGGTGAATACAGTCTGCGCTAGAGAATGACCCTCCAGCCACGTGATCTAGGAGAACATAAACATGAGCACTGGGTTTAATGCATGTCAAAACATCTTTGTGACTTTATAATTCTTTTTTTCATAGTTTGTCAGTTCAGACAAAAAGAAAATAGTTTGGTATACACCACAAATTGGTTTGTCATTTATCATTTATATTGTCATTCTTGTCTTTTCTTTTAAAGTGACAAGTTAAGTCAGTCAAGTCAATTCTATTTATAGCCCATATCATAAATCAGAAATTAGCCTTAAGGGGCTTTACCATATGTACAGCATATGATACCCTATGTCCTTTCAACCCTCTCTGGGTCAGCATCTTAAATTCCCTGTGACATTCCATGATATAAATCAAAATCCCTGATGTTTTCAGTCCATGCTTCATCTCTCAAAACCCAACTTTCGAGAAAATCTTTGACTGGTGGGAATGACTAGACCAGTGACCTTGGATCTGTACCCACTCTTTCTTCTTTTCCCTGTGGGTGGAAGCTAAAATGCAAAACCTCTGGAGTCATATTACACACAGAAGCACAGCATTATGTATGAGAAACTGACACTCACCAAACAGCAAAAACATGTGTCTATGATTCCGATGAGTTCAGGGAGACTGAGGTCCTTCACCTTAATGGCACCTTCCTAAAATGAACACAAAGGTAGGTACTGTTATATTAAATACTAGTTGAACTAGACGATGCAATCAGAGTTGTAAATTTAAATTAAGAAAATCAGGTAGTTCACTCTTTTCATTGTAAGGCAGTGAGAGGTCAGCAGCACTGTACCTTGATAGCTTGTTCAAAGTTGAGCACTTTCCTGTTGACCTGGTTTCCAATCATTCCTGCATCCATCTTAGGATCCATCATCTCTATGGCTGACATGGCCTCAAACAGGCCAAACCTACCACCATAGCAAAATGTTTAGTGTCTCTTTTGTAGGTGTGTTTACAAAGGTTTAAAAAACTCTACTGATCCAATAACTCATGCAGATAGATTCAAATATGTTCATGACAAAAATAATGACAAGAATTCCCTGATTCATTGTAATTACTCAGTCTTGTCAATGCTATAGCGTCTCCTAAACAGTGTTTAGACGTAGTGACATATAAACTCTTGGCTGAAATCTGCTCAATTTTGTGGGAGGGTTGAAACAGAACAGAAAAGATTGTACAATATCTACATTGTCCACCTGGGTGGAATTTGTCTTTGGCTCTCCAACCACAAGAGACAACAATATAAGACAATGTTTGTGTTTATTTTGTTTAATGTAAGAGAACTGATTCTTCTACATTCGAGTACGCACAAAGCATTTTGTCCTACTCACAGTTTGTCATGAAGCAACTCTCCGAGGTTCAACTCTGCATAAATAAATGATGAGGACAAGGGAAGAGAAAAGGAGAAACACGTCAGTACCTGTCATAACTGCACGCACATGACCCTCAAACACAATCACTGGCAGAGCCTGTACCTTTGCATGCGCCCTTGAATTCATGTGTGATATCAACCCAGTTGGCATTGTTCTTCATCTTTTCTGGGATGCCCAGCCCCCAGCCAGCATCATCATCCTCAACTGCTGACTTCATCACCATGGTGACTACTACAGAGAAACACAAAGACAAGTAAGGAAATGACATTCTTAACAAGGGTAAAATGTCAAAATAATTTGCATCTGACTGCAACAGTAATTTAGGGTCATTCACTGTTCCCCTCTCTTGTCAGACGTTTGGCTTTACAGTAGCTAGAACAGTAGGTGTATAAGGCCCAAAAACTTTAATGATAGCTCTGATGTGGGTGTGACAGTAAACCACGTCAATGTGTCAGCATGAACAATAACTCAAGAGCAGGCACACCTAAATAAAATGCACCCCTACAAGTCAAACTGTCCACAGTAAGAAAAACCTGCATTATATGAAGAGCCTCTGGACTCGAAGCACTGTAAGTATTCAGCAGCCGGCTGTCTTTACATATTTATTAACTGTGAACTAAGGTACATATTTACATTTACACAATCATTTACTACATTCATCCATCTTCTCCACTGTACAATCCAAAGTTTAGTTGGCAAATACTCCGCCCCCTGTTCAGGTTTAGGCTATATCTCTGTATGTACACTGAGCAGGTGTGGGTGTTGTAATAATTCAATGTGGTACAGTGTGACAACATTTTCAAAGCTTCTTAATATATTACCCTTTCTTCATGGCACCTACACACCATTCAGCAACATTACATATTACATAATTTATTAAAATCAAACTTAAATGGTTGTTTGTGTCACAAAGGTTGCTGTATGTTCTACAAAGCCTTTACACATTCATGTTTATGTGTGACCTCTACTCCTGGAAAGCTGGAAAGGAAGTATACTATGCTGTCAGGGCAAAAGTGGAGGATTAACATCATGCTCTGTGAACTGAATTGAGAAGCTTAAATAAAGCCTAAAAAGGTGTAAACGGCACACATGAGTGCACCGGAAAGTCTCAGCCTTTCAAACCAAGAATATATCAGTGTTATAACAGCTAAGAGCAAGTTAAACCACCTCCCCATTCCTATATGACTGATTTACAGCAACTGGACCCAGTGATATTTGTGAGACATATGAACATACTGACATAGATTTTACCTCATTACATACAGGTGAAATAATTACAGGTCAAAGAAGATATTGATGCATTTTTACTTCAGCCTGACATTTGGAGAAATCTCATTGAGAGAAACTGGATAACTTGGGTAGCTATATGCCAAACACATACACACAAGGGAACAGTATGTCATGTTATTTGGCTATTTTAGCACTATGATCAATACCAGTGTCAACCTTAATTTGTACGTAACAATTTACAGAGTAACACCAAGTGTGTGACTCACTACAAGATTCCCTTTAAAAATCGTTGAATTGTGAGAGTTGTTGAGTGGTTATGTTTAGCTTTAGAGGCTGGGTCACGGTATTGACGGGTCACAGAATCCAGTATAACAACAGAAACGACGTACATTACAAAAACACCAAGCATAGGATGCCGTTCAGGTTACTCCTGCAAGGTATTAAAAGACGTGAGATGCATAGGACATGTTAGCTAGCTATCATCAACGTCAAAGTAGCCTGTAAAACCGTGTGCTAACAAGCTAATGTTGCCCACTGTGGGCGTTTCTTGTGAACAATATCGTCAGTTTAACACATTATACAGTTTAATCATATATACAAAACAAGAATGCTGTTATTAGAAAGCCATACTGTCGTTGTAAATTAGCACGTACCTTAGTATATTGTATCAACCATGTAGCTAATAGAGATCTCCTCAACGGTTGTAAAGACCGGCGCAAAAATTCAACGTCATAGGACCACTGTCAACACGGGAAATGTAGTCTTTATATGTCAGGATGGAGAAGCGTAAATGTGTAGATAAAACTGTATTCATGTTATATTTTAGGGAAGGCTGTGGTGTATTTTGCTCATTCGAGAGCTTTCTATCCTTGTATGGCAGCGCCTAAAGCCAAGATGCTCTGCTCTGCTCTGCTGTCTCCACTGAGCAGAGAAACGAACTCTCGCGTTACTTAGCGATAGCCCCGTGACAGTTTGGGCTGGTCTCATCACAACATCATCAGGGCGTTTTGGGCAACGCTCAGACACACAACGGTACCCCTTATCTTAGATTTGATCCACCCTGAATGGGACAGCAGTTCCTTTCCATACAGGTTTGTAAAGTCCTATTTCTTGTTAGCAACACGAAGGTTTATTGCTTTAGCTGCTACGCCTGTTAGCGCTTTATTGTTAGCATATTTCTCCGTTAGCTAGCCTGCTGGCGCAGACAGGCGGCCGTTAATGAGTGACTAGTCCAGCAGGTGCAGCGGGGGGCAACAGTCTCAGCTAGGTTTATCCCACTTAGCATCTTGTAAAACAGCATTGCTTAGCTGTTTACCATACTAACAATAGCCTAATGACAGTGACTTGCCCAAATGTCCCTGCCGGCTGCTGTTATGACGGTGGCTTTTCGCGTTTTCTAAATGGTTGTGGAAGGAAGCAGCCCTGTGGGGTTATTGTGGCCAGGCCACCATCTGTCCTGTGTAAGCTGGCCTCCGCAACATGTCAGTTTACAATTGCTGTGTAAAATGCTTCAGATAGATTATCCCAAACACAGGGCTTTTATGGTCTGATGTAGCTGCTCATATGCTCACAAGGCGCGACCTGGCATGCTCATCTCGTTGTACCTGTGTAGTAAGACAGGTTGGTGGGCTTTGCAGTCTCACTCTGCAAGCTTTGGCAAAGCCTGATGAGGAGTTAGCCAGCTTTGTGAAAAGCTTATTTTTAATTGAAAAATACTACTAACATCTTATTGTTTATGTGTTGCTATTAATTTATTCTTTTGTCTTTGTTTTATGGGTTAAAAATGTAATATGTCATTGTTATTTTAAGCATGTTAAATCCCTTATTAAACCATCTGACACTATGATGACTGATAGCCTTAGATTTACAACTGCATCGTTTATGACTCATCCTATCTCGCCTCCTGAATGCTTCTGTATTCACTGTCTGACCTAATCTAATCCAGGGCTCTTGGGAGACCTGTGAAAATGCAATTCACTCAACTGAAGTGTAGTCACTTGCTCGACTTTTCTGCTGAATGATGCCATTTTTTTGTCTGTTTTGAAACACAGTTTGTTGTTTGGTGTAATGCAGCTGAACTGAGTATGCTTCGGTCAAACCTGGTCTTCAGATTACCTTGTCTACAGTTCTTTTGTCTCCAGACATTTGAGATCTGCAGCATGAAGTGCAGCCCCTTTTGTTTTTTGTACCATCAGTCAGAAGGTTCTGGTGTAGTCAATATGAGCCATCTGTCTGCAGCTGTACGTGTCCCAGCACATCCTGGACAGGTCACTAGTTTGTTCATTCACAGCTATGAGCAATTTAGGTTGATCGTCATCTGGTTTTGGCACAGCTGCAGGGCTGACTACAGTGTGAGATAACAACAGAGGAAATTCAGTGGGATTTCTTTTGCCACACAAGGCAAAGTTTTCATGTTAATTTCTAAAATTGTTCAGTGTGTTTATACATCCTTTTTTGTCAGTAATGTCTTTATTTTTCTTTCTCTTGCAGACGACATGAAATGCTGAAGTGGTAAAAATGAACAAACCCAAAATGGCCACAGAGAAAGGGTGAGTTGCTTTGATATTTTAGTGTTTATACACAAACGCACACGTGGGCTGTGATTTGTAGTATGCTTGTGTTTCTGTGTTGTGTGAAAGCTGGTCTGTCACAACCATCTGTTCACATACTGGACTCTTTCTCACCGAGCGCTTACCTTTTCCCTCGCTGGTGTGATCACACTCTTGCACTATTCTACCTTATAAATGTATGTGTACCAGTGTTTTTCCCTGCTTCTTGTCGCACTGTCTGTGTTTGTTTGTGCAACACAGCAGATAATCAGTTGATCCTTCTTGAGCCGTCCATATGTATTTGTCATGATGACTAAAAGCTGCAACGCTCGTCATTAATGCAGCAGAAACGACCTTGGAATAAACCTTTCAGTCTGTTTGTCCTGATCAGGGTTGAACATTTATAATCTGTTCATTTTCTTGTTAATCTGTGTTCATTTATGTGACTTAGGCAGCGTGTTTATTTAGGCTTTACTTCTCCTGCAGTATGTTTCCCTTTTTTCCAGACTTGCATCACTTTTTTCATAATTTTTTCCAGTTTTCTTTTTCTCTCTGCAGCGTGCGCACAAACACACATACACACACACACACACACACACACAGTCTCTCTGTCTTTATAAGGACATATGAGAAACTCAGCTCCACTGGGCACTATCACAGAGTTTTGATTCTGTCTCCCATGTTTGCTGTTGCTGTACCAACAACTGACCTCTGACCTTGTTTCCAGCTGAGCGCCACTGAGCTAAGATTATAAAAAGGGGGATGGGTCACTATCCCAGAAATAGTGAAGCCCTAAGAGACCATCTCAACACTCAGCTTTATCAAAATGAATGAAACAGAGATCTAAAAGTCGGTATTTAAACACAGCCTGCCAATTTGTCATTTTTCTAGCATTGCACTATGTTACAGAAAGGCTATTTTTGTTGCTGAGACATATTTGACTCACTTTGGGCATATAAGGGCATATGTGCATGTGAAGGGCTGCTTTATGTTTGCTCTCCAGTGTCACCCAGTGCTGCATAAACTGACAGTGAGCCATCACTGTAATCCTTATAATCTGAGACATGGATCAGGAAATCATGACAGATTTTCCTTTTAACACAGACTCATGTATTAAAGCTGTAACTCACTGGTTTTATATATCTATATTTATCCTTTCTCGAAATACTTACACAGGAATTAATTTGTGATTGAAGTTTTTCCGTTACATATATTCTTTAGGGGTGTAAATCACAAGTTTATATTGATTCTATGGACAACGATACAATATTTGCATTTGTCATAAAGTCTGCGACAGTACAAGTCCGTTGAATTCAGGCGCCTGTGATTGATATGAGGCATAATCAGTAAATATCCTCATCGTCTTATTCTTGGCTGCTTGCTGTTGCCTTCGTGGCGCTAGGCTGCTAGCACTGTTTAAATGTTGAGAAGGAGTTGTGCTTGTACACAAATGGTGACACACACATGTGCCATTGGAATTTCAAAATAAAGGCATATCTTAAAGATGGCAATATGTATCAATGTTTTCACTTTGCATCAATATTATTGAATCATTGATCATTGAACTGATATATCGATCAAGATCAATGTGTTGTTACACTCCCAATATTCCTTCCTAAAAGTGAAAATGTGTGTGTGTGCGTGTGTTTCCAGCGTTCCCAGTAACTCCAGGGTACTGATGCTCCTGGGCCAACTGGAGAGGATGAACAGAGAGGCCATGGTGAAAGATGTGGAGATGGCAAGACAGGTCACCGCAAAGATATTTCATCTCATACAGACACAGGGTGAGAGAGCACACACACACACACACACACACACACACAAAATAAAGTGCAATGGGCTCAAACTGAAACTACAGAAAAGATAAATCCAACGTTTATGTGTTTCTATAGAGATGTGAATTGTGTATGGTGGTGTCATATCCAAGTGTGATAACTGACCAGTGCTGCCACCTCTTGGTACTTTCTTGGTACTTGCCGCTGTAATGACGAACAGTATCAGCCCTAAATTTCACCGTTGACAGAATATCATACCTTCATTATAATATGCTGATACAAAAAATGTTTATTTTAACGGTAATTGTCAAAACAATAAGTTCAAGCATAAGGAAACGAAAAGGAGTAACAACCACCACCACCACACACACACACACACACACACACACACAACTGTCCACAAGTAAATATGCTGTAACCCACACCATATTCCCCTTCATGGTGACTGGTCAGAGCAATGATGGTTTCAAGTTGATATTGGCTAACCTACCTGGCATAAAGCACAGACACTGATAGGCACAGTCTGCATGTTGATTTAAAATAGCACTCCACTGGTTTTCACAACTATACTTTTGGACTCATAATAGACACTTTTAAAAAATATCAAAATTCAGCAGAACCTGAGATGATATTTCTGTTACACACATTTTTCTCCCTCATCAAAACTTGGTACCTCCATTACCTGCAATGAGACTTAACCGACGGCAGTTTGATCAGAGATTTGGGTGTGTTATCTCCTCAGTACTATGTTCCCCTTTATAGAGACAGTTCACCCAAAATCAAAAATACATATTTTACCTCTTACATGCAGTGGTATTTATCAGTCTAGAGTGTTTTGGTGTGACTTGCAGAGCGTTGGAGGTATCAGCCGGAGAGATGTCTGCCCTCTCTCGAATATACTAAGTAGATGGCACTCAGCTTCGGGTGCTCAAAGTACTGATGAAATACATTTGAAAAACTCAACAGCAATGTCTCTTTCCAGAAATCATGACCCGGTTACTCAAGATAATCCGCAGACCTTGTTGTGAGCAGTTTCATGTAGGAACTATTTTCTTTCTACCGAACTACACCTGCCAACTGTATAACCAAGGCAGGAGTGCATCCACTGAGCTACCTAACGTTACAGCTCAGCCAAGGAGGACCCCATTAATGTTTACACTGTGCGCTATCACCAGTATGAGCCTATCGTCCATGAGTAGATGCACTCTTCCTTCTGCCTGGTGATACAATTGCCGGATGTGGTGCAGTAGAGAGAAAATAGTTCCTACATAAAACTGCTCACAGCAAGGTCTGTGGATTACCTTGAGTAACTGGGTCATGATTTCTGGAAAGAGACATTGCTGTTCAGGTGGAGCTCTGTTCACACAGCAGTTGTTGTGTAAACAGAGCTGGGTTAGTTTACCGGTAGTCAAAGTGTGGATGGATTGATACAGTGTCTCCGGATCTGGTTCTCTGATTACTCTTTTGAAAGGAGAGCAGAGGAGAAGACCTGACAGTGAAAGAAGGAGGCATTGTGCTGCATCGCTTTGTAGAACAGACTGAAACATGAGTGCGTCTCTGTTAGCAGGGTGCCTCTCTGCCATCCTGAAGAGCTGGGATGAATAGAAATCCCTGATGCAAGCATCTTTGCTCCAGTGCTTTAACAATTTGTTGATTAATGTATTATGTCACACTGATGGAAAATTACAACAGTTCTGTTACTTGTTAATGTCAAGCGAATTGCCAAACACTCTCTGTTGCAGCTTCTCAAATGTGAGGATTTGCTGCCTTTGTCTGTTTTACATTTCAGAAATGACTGTCTTTACGTATTGGTTTTACAAAACAAGCAATTTTAACACATAATAGACTAAACAATTAATCAGTTAAAGGTACAGTACAGGCCAAAAGTTTGGACACACCTTCTCATTCAATGCGTTTTCTTTATTTTCATGACTATTTACATTGTAGATTCTCACTGAAGGCATCAAAACTATGAATGAACACATGTGGAGTTATGTACTTAACAAAAGAAAGTGAAATAACTGAAAACATGTTTTATATTCTAGTTTCTTCAAAATAGCCACCCTTTGCTCTGATTACTGCTTTGCACACTCTTGGCATTGTCTCGATGAGCTTCAAGAGGTAGTCACCTGAAATGGTTTCCACTTCACAGGTGTGCCTTATCAGGGTTAATTAGTGGAATTTCTTGCTTTATCAATGGGGTTGGGACCATCAGTTGTGTTGTGCAGAAGTCAGGTTAATACACAGCCGACAGCCCTATTGGACAACTGTTAAAATTCATATTATGGCAAGAACCAATCAGCTAACTAAAGAAAAACGAGTGGCCATCATTACTTTAAGAAATGAAGGTCAGTCAGTCCGGAAAATTGCAAAAACTTTAAATGTGTCCCCAAGTGGAGTCGCAAAAACCATCAAGCGCTACAACGAAACTGGCACACATGAGGACCGACCCAGGAAAGGAAGACCAAGAGTCACCTCTGCTTCTGAGGATAAGTTCATCCGAGTCACCAGCCTCAGAAATCGCAAGTTAACAGCAGCTCAGATCAGAGACCAGATGAATGCCACACAGAGTTCTAGCAGCAGACCCATCTCTAGAACAGCTGTTAAGAGGAGACTGCGCTAATCAGGCCTTCATGGTCAAATAGCTGCTAGGAAACCACTGCTAAGGAGAGGCAACAAGCAGAAGAGATTTGTTTGGGCCAAGAAACACAAGGAATGGACATTAGACCAGTTGAAATCTGTGCTTTGGTCTGAAGAGTCCAAATTTGAGATCTTTGGTTCCAACCGCCGTGTCTTTGTGAGACGCAGAAAAGGTGAACGGATGGATTCCACATGCCTGGTTCCCACTGTGAAGCATGGAGGAGGAGGTGTGATGGTGTGGGGGTGTTTTGCTGGTGACACTGTTGGGGATTTATTCAAAATTGAAGGCACACTGAACCAGCATGGCTACCACAGCATCCTGCAGCGACATGCCATCCCATCCGGTTTGCGTTTAGTTGGACGATCATTTATTTTTCAACAGGACAATGACCCCAAACACACCTCCAGGCTGTGCAAAGGCTATTTGACCAAGAAGGAGAGTGATGGAGTGCTGCGGCAGATGACCTGGCCTCCACAGTCACCGGACCTGAACCCAATCGAGATGGTTTGGGGTGAGCTGGACCGCAGAGTGAAGGCAAAGGGGCCAACAAGTGCTAAACACCTCTGGGAACTCCTTCAAGACTGTTGAAAAACCATTTCAGGTGACTACCTCTTGAAGCTCATCGAGAGAATGCCAAGAGTGTGCAAAGCAGTAATCAGAGCAAAGGGTGGCTATTTTGAAGAAACTAGAATATAAAACATGTTTTCAGTTATTTCACCTTTTTTGTTAAGTACATAACTCCACGTGTTCATTCATAGTTTTGATGCCTTCAGTGAGAATCTACAATGTAAATAGTCATGAAAATAAAGAAAACGCATTGAATGAGAAGGTGTGTCCAGACTTTTGGCCTGTACTGTACATCGTTCAAGATTCAGTGGGATATTTTGGCAGAAATGGAAAATCATATAATAAGTATGTTTTCTTTAGTTTATAAACACCTGAAAATAAGATGTGTTGTTTTTTGTTACTTTAGAATGAGCTGTTTATATCAACATAGGGAACGGGTCCTCATCCATGGATTCCGCCATGTTGCACTGCCATGATTCTGCAGTAGCAGAACGGACAAACCAAACACTGGCTCTGTCATTTTCACGTTTCCAACATAGTTCATAGCCCATCCACGACCAGCTGAAACTGATTTGTAACTTGAAACTGCTTTAGTTAGTGTTGTTACCAGTTTAAATACCTGGTGCATTTGTTTAGGAGAGGAAGAGACCTGTGTGGATGATTAGGCTCCCGCTGAAAGTCTCTTGAACATCTGGTTTTTCAGTTATCAGAGAAAAATGGTGAGCACTCATTAGCAGGTGCGGGGCTAGTGGCCCTTCTGCGATGATCCGAGCAGCATTGGAGAAACACAGATTTGTAATGTGGGCGGCACCATGGTGAAGTGGTTAGCACTGTCGCCTCACAGCAAGACGGTTCCTGGTTTGAACCCCAGGGTGGGGGAGCCCTTCCTAGTGTCAGTGTGGGTTTTCTCCGGGTACTCCAGCTTCCTCCCACAGTCCAAAGACATGCAGGTTAATTGGTGATTCTAAATTGTCCGTAGGTGTGAATGTGAGTGTGAATGATTGTCTGTCTGATGGTATGGCGACCTGTCCAGGATGTACCCCACCTCTCACCCAGTGTCAGCTGGGATAGGCTCCAGCCCCCCGCCACCACTTACAAGAAGTGGTTATGAAAAATGAATGAATCAATGAAATGAGATGTGTAACGTGAAACTGTGTCAGTGTTTTTACTGGTTTTAATCACCTGGGGTCTCATTTCTAAACATTGTGAACGCACAAAATGGGGCCTGAAGGAGACGTTCGCCTCTTACCACGCAAAAGTTGTGATCTATAAAAACAGACTTGGTGAGAGAAACTTTGACACATACTGACGAACATTGTAGACACAGGAAATTGATGATGCAGATGGTGAGATGAGAGCCTGACTGTAGAAATTGTTGAATATTTTTTGGCTCATGCCATTTTTGGCTTTTTTCTGTAGGTACATTTTTAGTATGCATCCTAAGCATAATTTTATAAATGAGATCCCTGGTCCATTTGTTTTGGAGAGAAAGAGATCTCTGCAAGTAATTCAGCTCCTGGTGAAAACCAGTGATCACTGAATGAGTCATAACCAGGAGTCATGCTTTGACATGGGAGAAGTTTTCCTCCCCATTAGATGCCACAAAATCCTACACACTGCTCTTAGTATTGAAAGAAATGAAATAATCAGATATCAACAGATAAATCAGCAATGAAATTAGGTGATACTTGCAGCCATTGCTTAAAACACTGAATAAGAAACGTTAACCACAATACTGGAGATGTGTCTGTTTCCCCATGTGTGTACTAACCTACAAACTCCATTTTTTCGTCGGTGGCTCTTACATTACCTTTGCCCTGGAGCTAGGTTTTCATTTAGTGGCTTTTTCATTGTGGATTTTTTAAATGAGGGCAACTTGTGATCACTCGGGTCAAGCCTTAATGGAGCCTTTATGCGAAGGTGAAGAATCCTGCTGAATCATCACCTCATATTTTGAGCCTGTTGACATACTTTGAACCCGCTCTGAACTTCTTCCCTCGCGCTTTTCTTAAATTTCATCTGTCCTCTTCCCTTAATTCCCTACTTCCTCCCACTCCCCACTTCAGAGTAAACTTGTGGTTAATCCGCCATGACGGATGCGCACAGTGGAGAGGCTTCTGTCTGTGACCCTGTCAATCAGTATATATCAGCTGTTCCTCTCTCATCTGCTACTTGGCTGTCTGTCACACCCTGACTGCAGCCTCAACCTGAAATGTGTATGAGCATGACGTCTGTTAGGGGGATGGAGGGGGTCCATGACCTGTTTGCAGTAACTATACACCCCGAGACAGACTTTGCTGTACTCTTGTCTCATGTTCAGAATTTTAGGAGCTTAGGAGACAGTAAAGAGATACCAAGAGAAAGAGCAGGGATTATAGGGAGGAATGAGAGCCAGGAGTTGTCAGTGAGTTGTAAACTCATGCATGTGATGAAAAGATGCATTAAAAAAAACTCTGCCAGGTGGTTCAGTTTAGTGGAGAATGAATTCAGCTTTAGAGACAACAGTTGTCTCTTTACTTTCTCATTTGCTGTCAGAAACTGTTTATTTAAGCGTAAAGCAGCTGTCCCTATAGTGCTGACAGGGGAGGTCAGAGAAAGAGGAGAGGACGCATGAGGAGAGGTATCCTATACAGCTGTCAGTTTTCTAGGACTAGTTGGTGGTTTAGTTTCTAGTAGCGTGCAAGGGGAGGTGCTGAGCGCAAGATTCATCATGACCTGCCCCTAAGCTCAGTGTGTTGGTTCACAGCTGGAGGACTGGCCAGCTAAGCAGTCTACCTCTCGCCTCAGAGGGATAGAGATCTACCAGTGTAACATTCAGAGAGCCTTCATGCTTCATATGGACCATCAAGCTCCGAGGCATTTGATTCACAGCAGACCTGCACTGTAAACATCCAGGACTCAAGAGGCCGCCAACCTGGGATTTTGGAAACATATTTTCTCCCACAGCTTCGGTGAACTTTGAGAGTGTTATGAAATGGAGTACCGCTACACAAGGAGATACTATCAATCTTTGGTCGCCCTGGAGCCACCATATAGGGTGCAGTATGATGAAAATGCTTCAGGTATTTTGACTCTGGCTCTTAAAAATCCTCCGAGGCATAGATTTTCACAGCTGCATTATCTATGATGGCACTCGTGTTACAGATATATTTTAAATATTCCACTTTGCTCAGGCCAACAGGTTAGAACAACCAGTATGACTTCTGCAATCTTCACAGTTCATGTTCAGCACTTTAAACAGTCTGCCACAGCTTACTTCTGTCTACAGTCACTGGAAAAGACATAAATGATGGTTAGTGTGCAGATAACAAAAAGCTGACTGGCTGCTTTACTTGAGTACAATCATAAAGCTTTGTAAATTCTTATTAGACCGCACATTTTACAAGCAAAATAAAATCATTGAGCAGTAAATAGATAAAGCAGCAAATCATTGTTATGCATTATTGTTTTTTTTATTTGATATCTTATTATTTTTTAGAGATGCTCCTATGTGTAACCCCTAGTGATGTTTGTTATTCGAGGATTAGTGCTGAAATGTTGTTTTGGAGCATTTTCAAAAAGTCTGGCATGACAGAGATGTTTTCAGAGGTCACTGCTCTATAAGGCACTGAACTGTGTGTATGCGTGTGTGTGCATGTTTGCATTCTCAGCATTGTTAATTGAAAGGGAAGTCTTTATGATATTGTACGTGTTTATATATACGTCGGCAGTCCACTATAAACTAATGCGGGTTTATATAAGTCATTTTGAAAAGGTCGAAGGACTTCAGTGTCTGTTCCATACTCTCTGTCCTGTATTTGTGTTTGGAGAGTTTGTTCCAGGACAAGACAGGATCAAACACAGAGACCTCTCTAAAGAGGTCGGGAATTTGTCAGCTCCTAAATTACAGGGCAGGTGGAGGGTGTGATTGAAAGAGGTGGACAGGTGGAAAAAGAGAGACAAAAGATAGAGGTGAAGCAGGAGTTGTAGCCAAAGCTTTTATTTTTACGTCTTGAGCGGGGCAGTTTTTAAGAGGAGAGAATGTAAAGCTCGTGTGCAGAAGCTAAGATTTAACACAATGTAAAAAAGGAGCTTTGATGATATGAAATATATGCAGTAGAATCTTTGTAACTACAAGTCCCCGGGAGAGCATTCTTCACACCTTCCAGCATAATCCTCTGTGACATTGTGACTTGTCTGTAATTGTTGACCTAACATTTACAGGACAACCGGCTGTACTTGAATAACTGCCCCCACTTTGTTTGTGGGAGAAGCCTATGAGTTGTTTTGCACAAATGCAGCACTGTTTGTCTTCACATCACTGATCCTTTTTGTTTTGTTGTGTGTTGCAGAGAAGAGCGGCAAAGAGGTGATGTCCAAAGGCTCCAGTGGCATGGAGGTCTTACTGGCTTCACTGGAGGTCAGCTTACTCACCAACACAACTGGACACCGCAGCTTGTGACATGACAAACCTGTAACACAAAGCTTGTTCTGAAGCTTTTGCTTGTGTCTGCACAAATGGAGTGGTTTCCTTATAAGTCTGACTAGCAGATACTTACTCATCTTTGTGCTAGGCTAAGCTAAACGACTGCTGGTGCTAGCTTCACCTTTATTCGACAGTCGTCAAAGTGGTAACAGTCTAACTGATGCATTGTTTGATTTGAGATTAGACTGTGCGCATAGGAGAGAGAACATCAAGTAAAAATGCCTATAACCCACTTTACACCTGTATATTGTTTAACAAGTGTACCGTGTGGCTCCGACAGAATACCCGGGATGTCCAGACCACTCTGAACATCTTGTACATTCTCAGTGAGCTGCTGACTGTGGGTGAGTGGCGGTTTCGTTTCCTTTTTTCCAGTCTTGATGAGCAGTTTATGCCCTGATTTTGAGAACTGATGACATTTATTTCCCTGCTGGATAGTCACTTAGTGGGCAATTTAACTGTCATTTCTAATTTAGAGAAAGTATTTGGAAAAGCATTTACTGTTTCATGACTGTGAGAAGTATTTTAAAAGCATAAACTATTAATATTGCCACTCTAATAAATGACAAATGATATTAAATTGGAAATGTAGCTAGGATTGATAAAGCAGTAATGTTTTAAGGTTTGTGCTATCCAGGACTTCAACTGCATATCCCCATCATAATTGATGTTGTATCACATTTAATGCTGTTTTGTTGTTGTTTTCTGTCTTTAGGCAGAGGTCGCAGAGTGGGAGTATTTGTGTCTAAAGGAGGAACGGGAATATTATTCCAGATTCTGATCACTGCCAGTAAGGAGCTGCCTCCCAGTGAAGAACTCATGCTGCAGCTTCACTCACTGCTCGCCAAGGTTGGCCCAAAAGGTAGGCTTAATGTCACCCTGTTAAACAAACAAACACAGCACAGAGTACACCAATATATCAGGGTAGTCAGGTTCTAATGTTATTTTTTTATTCCTGTGTTATTGAATTTGCTCTTCTTTCTGTTTCCTTGTTTTACTTTGTTATGTGAACCATGTCCTGTTACTTAATGTCAGCTAAAGTCTGGTCTGTGCTGTTAAAAGTGCTCTGTTTAGTTTCCTTGTAAATAAATAAAAGTTACATTTACTTTGATATTTCTCACCAAAATGCATTGTGTGTTGAGGTCTAACAAACATTGGGTGCATTTCCTTGCCTTAAAGACATTTTAGCATGCTTTCACACCTGCCCTGTTTGGTTCGGTTCAAGCAAACTCAAGTTTGTTTGCCCTCTAAGTGTGGTTTGTTTGGGCAGGTGTGAACACAGCAGTCGCACTCGAGTGTGAACAAAACAACCGGACCGAGACCTTCTTGAAGAGGTGGTCTCAGTCTAGTTACAAACAAACTCTGGTGCAGTTCGTTTGTGGTGAAAACGTGTTCCGACCTCAATCTGAACCATCTGCAGTCACATGACACATTGTTTGGGTTAAACATGAGCATGTTACAGTCCTGGAGGATTATTAATGTGCACCTCCTCCTGTACTGCCTTAATATGCACATTCAGCACATCCAATGCATCAAAACATTGTTTTCTAGTTGGAGCCATGCCCCGTTTTCAAACTGTATGGTTTGACTAAAATGAACAATGACCGCAATATAGTCCATGATGACCAGCGCTAAAATCACCCTTCCGTAATTGTCCCTCCATTGTGACATTAGAAAGTGCCACATTTATCTTGCAAGTGTACTCTTCTTCAATGTTTTGTTTACTTCCTCGATTTTTTCCACATGGAAATTCTGACCAATCAAGAGCAGCTTTCTTGCACAAGGCATTTTATCTGGTCCGCTTGTAAATGCTGCCGTGAGAACATGAACCTACTCTTGGCAATTATTCAACTTTCTATCAAAATTAAATCCTGATTCAGACCAAAGCAAGACAACTCTAGGTCTGAGAGCACCCTGAAATATTTTAAATTGCCAGCAGGGATGATGTCTTCGTCTTCACTGCCTTTGCGGGTGAATTGCTACATTTCTTGGCTCGTTACTGCCAACTGTAGATCAGTAGAATACTGTGAAACCATTGGCAAGATATGAAACACACCATCTGAGTGGAAGACGAATAGGTGTAGTTTGTCTCAAAGGCCTTACAAGGAATGGCAGGCCTGTCCCTTGCTCTCACAGTCAGGCAGTCTCATATCAGAAGAGACTTCAGAGACCATCTGAGTGTTTACATGCATGCATGCATCTGCTGCGTCCGAGTGTGTGTGCACTATACAAATGAGGCGGGGACTCATAACATAGTGGTCAAAAATTCTCCCTCAAGACTGTACTGTTATTTAATTAAATCACTGAGAATCTACTGATGATACTCTGCATAATATCTGACCTTACAACCTCTGTATGTTCAGACAGAAAGTTTGGAGTGAAGGCCCGACTGAGCGGAGCGCTGAATGTCACAGTCAACTTAATGAAACAGAACCTACAGAACACCAAACTGCTTCTGCCCTGCCTGCAGGTTCTCAGGGTTTACTCCACCAACTGTAAGCCATTTCTTTGAAGATAGAGAGAAGTTTAAGTCGCAAGCAGATGAAGTGTCAGTGGTATTGGATGTCTGCTTCTACCTTTGCCTGATGTCTCTTCATGTATGTGTTTGTTTTTGCAAAAGCTGTGAATGCTATTTCTTTGGGCAAGAGTGGAGTGGTGGAACTCATGTTCAAGATTGCCGCGCCGTACAGCAAGAAGAACACCAGCCTGCTGAAGTAAGCAGACGACTGAATGTTGTGTTCTAAGAAACTAACGATAGCCACAAGCTGCAGCATCTTTTCATCTTCTTTTCAGTTTTGTTTTCAATGTAACTAATTTGTCATGTTTCTTATTCAACAGGGTCGCTCTGGATGCACTGGGAGCACTGCTGAAATCCAGTGAGTAATTTGCTTTGTAGCGATGACTTTTGACTCTTCAGTAGTGTAGTGATCCTTCATTAGTGCTTGTGTCCATGCTGTGTCACCTTCCTCTGCCTCTCTAACCTCCATGTTCATCAACCCCTTGCCTGGCCTTGACTGATTTTCTGATTCTGTTGATGATCAATCAACATGGATTTCAACTTCCCCTTCTTACCTCTCCCATGCTTCTCTTCATCCCATCCCTCAGTCGCAAAGCACAGATTATCACTGCTGTCTCTCCTCCTTCCTTCTCTTTCCTGTGCAGAAACAAACGCTCGCCGTGCAGTAGATGGTGGACACGTGCCTGTCTTGCTGGCTCTGTACCTGGACTGGCATCGCAATGACACACGCCATCGCCACATGCTAATTCGCAAAGGGCTGCTGGTCTGCCTCAGGAACATCACCAACATCAAGCTCGGCAGGAAAGCATTCATAGACGCTGATGGCATGAGGATTCTCTACAACTCATCCACTGTGAGCGAGAATGTGACACACACGTGGCAGATAATTAAAGCATGCAACACATACATTCTGCACCGCACACACACTCACTCTCACCTACTCTCTACATTCTGTGTGGTTGTATTTCTAGGAGTGTCTTCCAGTGCGGACTCTGGATCCTCTTGTCAACACGTCGAGTCTCATCATGAGGAAATGTTTCCCTAAGAACCGTCTGCCTCTGCCCACCATCAAATCAGCCTTCCACTACCAGCTGCCACATGTACCTGCTGTAGGACCTGTGGCGCAGCTGTACAGCCAGCCACCTGGGGGTGAGAACACAGGACACACTCACAAACACACATCCAATTCACTTAGAGAGTGCCTGAGCATTACACTGTGTTTGTGCATGCCTGTCATTGATGATTATGCAGTACAGACAAACATATAGACGTTTATTTGCTCATGGATTCAGTCATACATAACACACAGACACATAGATGATGATGAATACATCCATGGAGCACATAAATGGTTAATGGCAACACTGCTGCACACAATGTGCCTTACAGGAAGAAAGATTCATCAGCTCTGCAGCAGGCCCTTAAAGAAGGGTAAGACGTACGTAAGACACAACTCCATCCTCAGAATACATAGACTTACTCACTGCTGCTTTCTCATTCACCTCACATCAAACTCTAACTCCACTGAACTAACACATGACATGTGTTAGCTATAAACGTGATAGAGATGCTTAGTTCACGTCGCTTAGTGCTTGCTTTGCTCACCAGTGGACATTGTACTCAGCTTATTTGCCTCCTTGCATCCACAGGCTGCCGGGTGAAACATTCGATCCCCTTTGCTTTTCTCTTAAACTGATCTTAAATAAAACATGTACAATCAGAATGTTATTTTTCGTGTAGCCCTATGCTTAATTGAATCTGCTTGGTGATGTAGATGAATACATATCTTAGTTAATTTCTTGTAGAGTGCCAAAGCCAACAGGAAGTCCATAAAACAATAATATATACATCACAATTGTGACAACTGGCAGCAGCAACCCAGTAACTCCCTTAGCCTGAGCACAAAGTTGTGTGGACGCATCTATTTTCATAAAAAAAAAAAAAAAAAGGTCAAGCGACTGCTATTACATAGACCTGTCAGAGATATCACCAGCGGAGCTCCAATGACTGATTAGTTGTCAACTATTAAATTAATTGCCAACTAACTGGAATAATTAATTGGTTTGATGAAGAAAAACAAACTCAAGATTCTTTGATTCCAGCCTCTTCAATGTGAATATTTTCTGGTTTCTTTACTCCTCTATGACAGTAAACTGAATGTATTTGGGTTGTGGACAAAACAAGACATTTGAGGACGTCACCCTGAGCTTTGGGAAGCAGGGATTGACATTTTTCACCATTTTCTGACATTTTATAGACCAAACATCACATCGATTGATTGAGAAAATAATGGACACATTAATCGACAATGAAAATTATCATTAGTTGCAGCCTTAATCACCAGCTCAGTGTATTTGAAGAAATATTCTCAACATTTCTTCTGTCCTCTAAATCTCACACTCATCTCTGAATCATGGCTGCTCACATCTTTTTGTTAACATTTTCTCTGTTCCTCTCATAGCAATTAAACTCAATGACCGAAATCAGTTGAGTTCTGCCAGTCTGGTTACGTGCCAGCCTTACACACACTTTGGAAAATAATAAACTCCTAGCTTGGGCGAAAAGAAGGAAAATGTTCATTTTAAGGACAGTCACCTTATATATCTTTGTGTGTATATGTGTGTGTGTGTGTGTGTGTGTGTGTGTGTGTGTGTGTGGGTGTGTGTGTGTACCCAGTGGATGATGTGGTGGATGAAAGCGACGATAACGAGGAGACAGATGCAGACACAGAGAACGAAACTGAGAATGAAGAGGACGAGAAGGATCAGCGCGCTCTGGTAATATTCAGCACTCGCATGCACACACCGTATTTCACATGGCAACGTTACGTGTTGCACTTAGTGTTCAAAAAGTTGAGTATATTTTCTATGTATGACCGTGGTGCAACAGAGACAGTGTACACTGTAGTGATTTACATATTTACAACATTTTTGCAGCATGATTGAACTTAACAAAGGGTTGTGATGTCATGTCATTTGAGGATACAATCTCTTACAGCTGTATCCCTTCCTCTGCACTCCTCTTTACTTCCAGCAGAGGCCAGTCATAACTCACCAACGTCAGCTCACCAGACCGTGCCAAACACTCCCGTATCTCTTTGTCAAACATGTCAACCATGTCTGATATGCTTTTACAATTGCTGATTTAATCAAAACATTGCTCTGGCCTTACAGTGTGTGACGAAGCAATCCAGCGAGGCACTCAACATTTCTAAGCGCTACAAAATCCCCTTAAAATTAAACAGCTGCATTATGTCACTTTTATTGTTTTCTCATTAGCCGTAGTTCTTCTTTCCCTCGTTTTCGTATCTCTTAATCCTTAGATAGCAGCAACAGATTAAGTAATAGCCCAGACACAGCCAGACAGCACACAGTCTGAGGTTTTACATTTAGATGTGTATTTTCCTTTTGTTTGTTTTTAATCAGAATGATGACATAGAGACGGACCTGAACAAGCTGCATCCCAAAAAGGGCCCTGGTCGTCCCTTCGAGGAGTTGAGGGTCTATGAGAGGTTTTTCTTGGAGCTTTCTGAAGACTTCCAGGTCAGTAATTTGTGCCCACAAGAGGGTTCCAGGGTGGGGGGTTCGAACCCCGGGATGGGGGAGCCCTTCTGTGTGGAGTTTGCATGTTCTCCCTGTGTCAGCATGGGTTTTCTCCAGGTGCTCCAGCTTCCTCCCACAGTCCAAAGACATGCAGGTTAATTGGTGACTCTAAATTGACCGCAGGTGTGAATGTGAGTGTGAATGGTTGTCTGTGTCTATGTGTCAGCCCTGTGATAGTCTGGTGAACTGTCCAGGGTGTACCCTGCCTCTCACCCAATGTCAGCTGGGATAGGCTCCAGTTAGGCAGTGTGTTGGCACAGTACTCTCAGTTACGTAGGTATATTTTTAACATTAAAATTTTATCCTCCTGGCTTGATGTCAGCAGCACTGTTATGTCAGAATGAATTAATATGAGACATAAATTGTCAGAGAAATATTTGATTAAGACATCAGTGTACCTTGTTTTTCTTTCTTTTTCTTTTTGTGTTTTTCTTTTCCTAATTTAATTCTATTTTTTCCATTCAATTATTTTTCATTATTAATTTTATCTTTTTTTCTCCTTCATTTATTATATTATTATAACGTCATATTATTAAGATGAATTTACCTGAATTTTAATTTATTTTCTTCCCATTACTCTTTTCCTCATTTGGCTTAATTTTCAGTGTGTGTTGCTCCTGGGTATTTTTGTATTTTGATTTTATCAGTGTTTTCACTTACTGATTTTAAATGTCTGAGATGGTAAAACCTATTTCACACACCTGCATGTCGTTATTAATTTCAACAAAAATGAAAGCCTTTGTCCCATTGCATATGTTATGAGCCTGATGAGGCGCTCAGCATTGCTTTTATCAGAGGTTATAAAATATCCTTTATTATTTTTCTTACAGTGGATGTGTGGTCTCTACCACTAATACTTGTCTGTTTTTTCTGATTGATCTTATTCCTACAGGGTTATAACTTTGAATCCTCAAAGAGTGCCTCTACCACATCTTCATCATCGTCTTTCTCCTCATCATCAGCCCCAGCTCGATCCACTCGACCAATCATAGTGCCCACAGCTCAAGCCCTGTCCCCAAAGCATGTCCCCATCTCGAGCTCTCAGGAGGATTGCACCCCTACCAAAGGACAACACACTCTGCCGTCTCCTCCTGCACCCACTCCTGCTCCCCCGACACCTCTAGAACTGGACAGCATCCACCTCACCAAGGACCAACACAAAAAAGAGGAGGCTCACATTCCTTCCCCAGACACACATATGACACTGTCCTCCCTCGCCAGGCCTCCCTCTCAGGGGCATAAGTTAGACCAGGACCTTGCACATGTGTTGGAGTGTGTCTCTCTAGAAGAGGAGAGGCCTCTGAACACAGGAGAAGAAGGAGGAAGGGGAGTCAAACAGGAAGGATCCCCAGTCAACGCCACCAGACACATCCAGTCTCCTCTGCTCTTGGGGGGCATTGCTACTCGTCGGGTGGGAGGAGGAGGCAGCAACTGGGGTTCAGATTGTGGCTCAGAGGGTGCTGAGGATGAGATGGGGGAAGGAGCAGTTCTGGAGGTGCCAGACACGGCCCTGCTCCTCCCGCTGCATGACCCCGACCTGTACGTGGAGATGGTGAAGGGAACACGCTCCGTTCCCCAGTACGCTGAAGTGGCTTACCCAGACTACTTTGGCCATGTAGCACCGACATTTAAGGAGCCCCTTCAGGAGAGAGTTTACGGTGTACAGAGGTGAGACATTTCTATTAAAACTGTGGTTTGCAGAAATCATTTCACATACAAAATAAAGAGGGTGCACAGATTATAAAAGCGAGGAATAGAAGTTGTTTTGATAAAGCACTGTAGTTCATCTCCAGTGCAAAGAAAGAGAGAAGAGAAAAAGAAACAAGCAATAAAACAAGCATAAACCATTACAACAGCGCACACAACTGCAGTTTACTGTGGTGTTTTTCATGCCAGAAAGATTTTACATAAGCAAATATTTTGTGCTTAGAATATTTTGAAACTTTTTGACCTACCCTACAGATATGAGTGTGACCTTAGGCTGACTTGTGGGGCTCCAGTCAGTCCTTTTGGAGCCTCAGTAATAGTGATGTTTTTGTAATGCTTTTTCCAAGGACAAGCTGTGACTCAAAACTCCAGGCACCATTTTACAAAAGTTAAATGCAATCATGTGGTTACATTCTGGGGTTTTGCACTTGGTTTTGCAGTTCAAATTGTCAGTGTAAATCTGAGATAGTTTATATTTTTAATTTTGTTGTCATGGTGGTGGGGAAAGGCATTTCCTTTCCTTTAGTTTTTCACATCTGTGTGAATTATTATATTTTAATGGAAAACATGTTGGTCATGTATTGTGTTAATCATGAGTTTGTTTGCGGGTCTAACTCTGCAGGTCTAAGATATTCCAGGACATCGAGAGGTTGATTCATCCTAATGATATCGTGGATAAAGTAGTTTACGACCTGGACAATCCCAGGTGAGTCCCTGTTACAGAGTCTGTTAACCTAAAACACACAGGCTAAATGGAGCTAACATTTGAAGACAGCTACAGTTTGTGTCCTTTTTCCGCTGTTGTTGAGAGCTGTGACATTCACAAATCTGATTAGCTCAATCAGTCATCGACATTTTGTTGTGTTTCAGTTGTCCTGTGATTGAAGACGATGGCGAATCACTGAAGTTCAACTCTCAGTTTGAGTCTGGAAACCTCAGGAAGGCAATCCAAGTCAGGAAGTAAGTATTGTCACATCAGTCACAGGGTAATGAGCAACTGTTCACAATAGGATAGTCAGTGTTAAATCAACTTTTATCACGTTTATAGCACTTAAAGCCATGGCCGACTATATTCATCCTAGTGTTACATCAGTATTATTTGTTGTTGATGGTGTTTGGGTCCACATTTATAGCTTATGTTGCGATGTTTCTCCAGATACGAGTATGACCTTGTGCTGAATTCAGACATCAACAGTAATCACTACCACCAGTGGTTCTACTTTGAGGTGAGCGGCATGCGTGTTGGAACTGCCTACCGCTTCAACATCATCAACTCTGAGAAGTCAAACAGCCAGTTCAACTACGGTGAGATACACAAGAACATCTGGATAAAAACAGTCATTCTTCATCTGTTCTACAGAAGATTTGTGTGTTTTCTTAAATATTAAATTACTCTGTAGTGAGTTTAAAGAACTTTTGACCCACAGTTAGTCTTTATAAGGTCACTTGAGTATCAGATGGCACACATCGTTAGTTAGTGTGTTTGTGTTTCTCCTTGTGTGTGTGCAGGCATGCAGGTGCTGATGTACTCAGTGCAGGAGGCGATCAGTGGAAGGCCACACTGGGTCAGAACAGGAACAGACATCTGTTACTACAAGTAGGTGCACTCAGAGGGGGAGAGGCTATCTTTTTGATAAGTGTTTTCAGTCACAGTTTTCGTGCAGCATACCAATTTTGCCATACTGAAGCTACTGTCAAGAATATTTATACATTTTATAGACAATAGCTATAAAGCTTAAATACTTTGACGTTCTTAATACTGCAACATCTTCAAGAAGCATCCTTTAGAAGGGAACTCTCACCTTTACATCTTTTTAAATTGTACCGCATACTTAAAACATGTAGTGCATGTATGATGTAATGTACACTAAGTGGCCATTTTATGATCAACATGTACAATCTAATGGACTTCAGAATAGTAAAAAACTTTTGATGATGCCTATAATGTTTAGTTTTAGGGTTTAGTCTTAGTTCTTAGACATGGTTAACATAAACCAAGGGGGCAAATAATTAGAAACACATCACAGTATAATGTAGTCCAGTACAACACCATCTTAAAGGGACAGTTCACCTGAAAACTAAAAACACACATTTTTCCTCTTACCTGTCGGGCTATTTATCAGACTGGATTGTTTCGGTGCGAGCTGCCGAGTGTTGGAGATATTGGCCATAGAGATGTCTGCCTTCTCTGGAAGACATGAAACTAGATGGCACACTTCCTTCTGCCTGGCTATACAGTTGGTGGGTATAGTTCAGCTGAAAGAGAATAGTTCCTACATTAAACTGCTCACAACAAGGTTTGTGGATTATCTTGAGTAACCGGGTCATGATTTCTGGAAAGAGACATTGCTGTTGAGGTTTTCAGATGTTTGGGTTTTTTTGCACTTTAAGCACCATAAGATGAGTGCCATCTAGTTCCATTATATTAAGAGCGAAGGCAGACATCTCTACCGTCAGTATCTCCAACATTCTGCAACTCACACCAAATAATTTGGACTGATAAATAGCACTACAGGTAAGAAGAAATATATGCAATTTTGATTTTTGGATGAGCTGTCCCTTTAAACAATTACCTGCGAAATAACATATAACTGAATTCTCACATTACCAACAGTGTTACTAAATGTGAACATCAGCATAAAGCTTCTTGACAAGTAGCTGTGTGTCACAACTGCTGTATTGGATTGTAATAGATTGTGTAGGTGTACCTAATAAAGTGGCCATTGAGTCAAAGTGTTATGAGTGCTGTATTGTGCAACACTTACCCATGAAACATTCGTGCTTCTCCACAGGAATCACTTTGCAAGGAGTTCCATAGCAGCTGGTGGTCAGAAAGGGAAGTCTTATTATACGATGACCTTCAGCACAACCTTCAGCCATAAGGATGATGTCTGCTACTTCGCCTATCATTACCCATATACATACTCCACTCTTAAGGTACTGTTACAATACCATTGTTTACTGTCATCTAGAGAACATTAGCATGTAGTAGTATACATATCTCTGACCCCCCTTTTGACCATATTGTCTAGTTGTAATGGTTTTGCTCCCTATGATTCTCAGCACACTCTTGTCTCCTATGGTAATTATTACTCTCTTCTCCTACTGCGAAACCTCCCAGACCCCCAGTGACTCCAGATGCAGCTGCCTCTTGATGGAGTTCACTGTTTTTTCCCTTGTTGTATCATTTATATGTCCTTCAAATCTGAGCTCAGATAACTGCTGTGCTCTCTAACTACTGTACACTCGTTATGTTGATAGTTATGTTTATATAATTACATTTTGTCTGCCTTTATCGAGAGCGACTATGCAGAATTGCTTATAATACAAGCCACAAAAGAGAAGCTCAAACTGAATCACTTAATCACAAAATGGCCTCATAAACAGCCAGTGAAACAATACAGCGGTAAAATGTTGAGAAGCGAGGAGAGATTAGGTTTTAAATGGAAGCTGTAGATAATAATGTTAGCGGGCAAAATGTGAAAACTTTAATTTATTCCTTTGATTGTGTCCTCAGATGCACCTGTCCAAACTGGAGGCTTTGAGGACCCCTCAGATCTACCTGAGACAGGACGTCCTCTGTGAAACACTGGGGGGAAACAGCTGCCCCCTTCTCACCATCACTGCCTTGCCTGAGTCCAACTCCAATGATCACATCTGTCAGTTTAGTAAGTAAAGTAGTTGTAAGTAGGATATACTTTTTATAGTTTTGTTTGTATCCACAAGCTGTCAAAGCTTTTGACTTACTGGTCCATCTACGTCCCAACCCATACCCATGGTCATGAACTCTGGGTAGTGACCGAAAGAATGAGATAGTGGTTACAAGTGACTGAAATGAGTTTCCTCCATGGGGTGGCTGGGCTCAGCCTTAGAGATAGGGTCAGGAGCTCGGACATCCAGAGGGAGCCGCCTTTCACGTTGAAAGGGGTCAGTTGAGGTGGTTCAGGCATCTGATCAGGATGGTAGGAGGCCCCGGGGCAGAGCCAGAACACACTGGAGGGATTACATATTTCATCTGGCCTGGGAACGACATGGGGTCCCCCAGGAGGTGCTTGAAAGCGTTGCTGGGGAGAGGGGCATCTGGGGTGCTTTGCTCGGCCTGCTGCCCCGCAACACAGCCCCAGATAAGCAAATGAAAATGGATGGATGTTTGTATCCAGGATTCCCATTGTCATCTTTGATACTGAGTGGTTGCCTGGGTCCAAACCTTTCAAGTGTAGTTCAAGTTGACAAATCTGTCTGATATCAGGCAAACTGAGTGGATTATCCTGGTGAAATTAAGTCCTGGATGTTCAAACATAGGTGAAAATGGCCCTGGAATCATTTAGTTGTTCTGGAAAAATGTTAAGTGTGCAACAAAATTATGATGGCATCATATCAAACTAGCAAATGGGTCTTAAATGTATGTTTGCCAGATGTCCTGGTAACAGCCGGCATCTTGAAGCCACTGGGCCATAATATCCAAATATTTAATGGCTGTTGTGTCGTCACCTTAGACAAGTCTTACTGACAAATCTAATCTGCCATTTTGAAGATGGACTTTCATTCTTGTCCTTGTCTGTGTTACAAAATCTTAAAGGTCACACTTGCTAGCTTTTTTAAGTTTTAACTGCATCTCATTGACTTCTTCAGCAAATGGAGCTCTGAGATTATTTTGTCCCAAATAATCTATAATTAGTTAAAAAAACACTGTGCAGGATTTTCCAACAAAACATACAGAAGTAATCCCTCTAAATCAACACCTATGACCCATCAGAAGCGTGTGGCGGTGTATTTTTCTGCAGAGACTCCGTCCTCTGCCTTTATTTCCTTCTTATTTTGTGTTTGGGACATTTATGGGCGTGTACCTTCACAGCGCTTATGTGAGATAGCAGTTTTATAGGAGCTTTATAAGAAGGTAGCGACCAGGTGTCAGACAGTAAGCAACAGGCAGCAAAGAAGCACAAACGTATAGCAAGGTGAATTGCCAAACAAGAGTGAATCTGGGCTTTTACGTTCACTTTTGCTGGGAAGAGTGTTTACAGATAGTAACTGACAATCCTGCATGGTAAAAATACGATAGTACAGTATAAAGATTCTCCGGGCCTTTGTAAAAGATTTGTGCTTCTTCACGCTTGGCTCCTGGACAGTTCTCTAAAATGTTCTCTAAGAAAAGACGGGAATGTGCCGTTCTTTCTAATGCTTGCAAGAACATAAGGATGAATATCGGTGCTTCCAAAATAGGTTTTCCCTCCACTGTAGTTTACTGAGTCTGTTTGTTTTTTCTCATTCCTCTGTTTGTACTGTGCACTTCTTCTTTCTCAATCTTTAGGGAATCGTCCGTTGATCTTCCTGTCAGCCAGAGTGCACCCTGGAGAGACCAACGCCAGCTGGGTAATGAAGGGCACGCTGGAGTTCCTGATGGGCACCAGCCCACTTGCAGCCAGCCTGAGAGAGGCCTACATCTTCAAGATCGTCCCCATGCTCAACCCTGACGGAGTTGTAAATGGAAAGTGAGTAAGAAGAGTCTCGAAAAAAATTAACACAAATTCACAGCTTTCAAGTAGATGCAAACATCTGCTGACCCTCGGCCTGCACGTTGGTCACAGCTTTATTTACATTAACACACACACAGTCTTGTCTTGAAGGATTCTCCAGCTGTTGCTCTCTTCTTTTCCACTCTGTATCCTTCCCCTCTTCTGCCGTCTCCTTTCTGCTGTAGTCACCGTTGTTCTCTGAGTGGAGAGGATTTGAATCGCCAGTGGCAGAACCCCAATCCTGAGCTCCACCCCACCATCTACCACACTAAGAGCCTGCTGCAGTACCTTGCACACATACAAAGGGCACCGCTGGTATGACCTCTAATTAAGTGGACTTAAATTACTTTGGGGGCATTTTGCACTTTGCCGCATCATCTTTCATTTGGGAAGTATAAAGAGTCTCTCCTAACGTCTTAATAATGTCGGTGCCATTCCTCCTGTTCAGCTGCACACACTGTTTGGCTGCATGTTCACTAAATTTCATGTGGATAAATCACCACATTAGTTTTAGGACATTAATGCAGTTACCATAAACAACAGCCTCTTCTGGCCTCTGTGCTACACTGTGTGTCAGCAAGTTAGATATAATGGAATATTGCTTTTATGGGAGATTTGTTTACTGTATAAAGAGTAATGGCTTTACAGCACAAAGCAAGGTGAGGCCGCTGTCCTTCTTCTGAAAACACACCGGAGAAAATGTCGCAGTATATATGTATAAACAGATATCTGCATATGTGTGCAGAATCTGTAGGCAACAGGACAGAATTTTGGTATCAGAAGCATTCTGGCCTCTGTTTGTAGTCCCGATAGTACTGACCAGTCAGGTTTGAGTGGGCTTTGGTTGCCTGCAGGTAAACAGTTCATGTGGAGAGCAAAGGACGCAGAACATATGGCCAAAATGCATTCTCCCATCGGCTATCATCTGATTACGATTTATCTGTTTGTTCTAATTTGTCTGCCTTTATATGCAGATAGCTGTTTTATAGAGGTTAGCCCAAATGTTTAAATTTGCCGATCAAACTGTGAACTTCATCTTGGCATTATTGTCATCAGACCGCCAGCCAGTGGGTTCCAAGATTGTCTTAGCAGTAACATTGATGATCATTGATCATCATTTGATGATGATACAATGAGTTAATTTGAGTAACTGTCTCTGTGTTTGATTTTTGTATTCATTAATTTCACATAGCCACTTAAACAAGTTTGTAAAATTAGAGCAAGAGAAGATAAAGCCAATTTCCTTTCACTGCAGTGTGCATCTTAATCTTAATCCTTTCCTTCCTTTATTTCCTGGGTGTGTGTTTATGTGTGTGTGTGTGTGTGTGTGTGCGCGCGCGTGTGTGTGTGCACGCGTGCATCTGTGCACAGGTGTTTTGCGACTACCACGGTCATTCCAGGAAGAAGAATGTGTTTATGTATGGCTGCAGTGTGAAGGAGACAGTCTGGCAGTCCAATATCAGCGCGACATCCAGTGACTTACAGGAGGACCTTGGATACAGGGTGAGCACGCACACACATACACACACACACACACACTCACACTCAGTCTGCCTTTAGTGCATACCAACACTCATCCTTACAGTGTCACTCTCTCTGTCTGTCTGTTTCAGATTAGTCTTCTCACCTCACTGAATAATAACTGCATGAACTCAGAACAAAAAGATAATCTTCATTAAGTTTTAGCATCTTATATTTACGTCATCACATACCTGTCCTGTACAGTGTATGCACTGCAATTCACTTCCTGTGTCCCAACTTAATACCAGATTGTAGCACCATTTTAACTTGTTATACTTTGGCACTTAAAACTGTCAGTAATTGAGTTTGACTTCCTCTCTATTTGTAAATATGCTAACATCAGGCACCATTTCCAGTTTTGAGATACCTGCATCCTGTGTCATTGCTATGGATATCCTTATTGTGTTCATTTTAGATGCCTAATCTATTAGTTTTCTGTCTTTTTTAGTCAGTGTCGTGTTTCAGCAGCAGCTTTTATCTGACAGACACATTCAGATTTGTTTTACTCAGGCAATTTTAGTATAATTGACCTTGAATTTGACTCTGCATCAGTGTAGGACTTTTTCTCTCTACTCACCAGTCAAGCTGGTCAGGTCAAGATCAGTTTGTTGTTTCTCTCTGCATTTGGGAATGCAACAAAAATATTTTTCACTCAGCAGAATGCTAATAAAGATGGCAGACTTTGCTAGTGGACATGTCGCCTCAGGCTACGAGCCCACAGCAAACATTTTGGAAAGCAGCATCAGCTGCTCTGTACATAAGCCAGTTGGACACAGTTATTTGTCCCGACTATAAAACATACTTTATCATCTGTCCCCCCGACACACTAATGCACACACACCTACGCATAAACACTCAAACAGCTTCATGTGTGTCTCTCAGGCGCTGCCTAAGATCCTGTCCCAGATCGCCCCGGCCTTCAGCATGGCAAGCTGTAGTTTTGTTGTGGAGCGCTCCAAAGAGTCAACTGCCCGCGTTGTTGTGTGGAGGGAGATAGGAGTGCAGCGCAGCTACACCATGGAGAGCACGCTCTGTGGCTGCGACCAGGGCAAATATAAGGTAAGACAGACTCAGTGTCATTGAGTTTAGCACAATAACCCTGCTGTTAAATTCCTTGGTGCTACTTCTAACATTCTTCTGATGTCAAATAAGGGGAGAGGCAGTAATGGGGAATCACTTGGCTGAACTCGAACTGGGGGTGTTGTGGTTTATGGTCGGAGCTTTAAAGGTGCAGTCAGCGATTCTAGAGAAAGATTGTTGATATTGGAACTCGGCACCCAAACAAATAAACCCCTTCCCGTCAGTTCTCCTTAAGAGGCTCCATCTTACTGTCACTCTTTATCTTTGTACATCCATGGCCATGGTAGTGTTGCGTGGCTCACTTTGACAGCTTTGTTTGTTTCCCATTTACAGAGCCAGGGCTGTGTATGAAGCTGGAATCAGAGAATTTTAACTTATTTTCCGAAAAAAAAAAAAAATACCAGTTGGAAATTAATTCAATAGCTGACAACTAATTAATTAATCGTTGCAGCTCTAATTACATTTTATTGCATTTTACATGTGTTTTATTGTGTCTCCCACCCCTGCGAGTGAGAGGGAGGTGCCCCTATAAATCTCAAAGTGTCCACTAGGTGACAGTGCAGCCCTTGTCTCCACTCTCTCCTCGCTCTGCGTCTTCTTTTCTCCTCCTTTCCTTTGACCCTGCTATGTCCCTTTCTTCTCCCTCACTGTCTTTGCACCCCAGCTGATTTCCTTCCTACTGGATTCTGCCAATGTCAACATCTTACACATCCAGAGGCAGTCTAGGGATGCCATTTTGGCACTGATTAGCACCCCCACTGCTTTGCGTGAAAGTGTTTGTCCAGATGTGCAGGAACTAATGTCCTCTGAATTGAGGCTGCATATCTCTGTGGCCAGGCCAAATTTAAATGTTCCTTAGCTCTGCTCTGGGGAAATAGGAACATGAAAGTTTTGTAGTTGAGTCGGGGGGTAAGCTCTCTGTGTGTGTGTCCCTGAGTGAGTATTCATTTACGTGTGTGATTGAACAGCACTGTGAAGACTTTGTTGGGGTTGCAGGTGTGAGTGCACATGCTTTTGAATGTGTCCCTTCTGCAAATGAAATATATTATCATGTTTCTACATGAAAAGTTTCCTTGGCAACCGCTTTCCAGCATTGAGAACTGGGGTGTTTGAAGATGGACAACGGCCCCAGAGCAGCTATTGAAACCCACAGCAGCCATTTTAAAGCAGATTTCTGTTGGAGCTTTGAAATTATTTTTAAATCTAGCTGTATGTTGGAAGTGTGTTCCTCCTGGTGAACATATTAGTACCTATTTATCAGTATGTGTCTTTGATGTGCATGTACATGTTCTCCTCAGGGTCTTCAGATTGGCACCCGAGAGCTGGAGGAGATGGGAGCTCAGTTCTGCGTGGCCCTGCTGAGGCTGAAGAGGCTGACGGGGCTCCGCAATCACCAACACCTGCTGGATTTAGAGAGCGATATTATTGGGACACAGTCTAAAGTGGTCAGGTTAGTAATGTGCACAGTTCATGCAGGCGCACACACTTGCTGTGAAGCTATTTAGAGATGGAGAGTGTTGCTGTGAAGGTTAGAAACTCACACACAGTGTACACAGTTGAGGAATATAGTCTGTGGTCTCATAGAAACAAGACAGCAGGCTAACGCCACAGATGTCATGAACTAGGCTTCAGAATTTTTTATTTCTCAGCATTGTAACCTTCCCAAGATATCTCAGATGAGAAGCACTTTCTTTTGCCAAAAAATTCTGCCTGGAAATAAAACAAAAAAAACAACAGTAAAGTTGTTACAGGCTGTTTTCCTTTATATCTGTACAAATCCCCCTCCTTACTGCCAGACACGTTCCCCCCTCGGCACTGATACTCAACGGTGTGACTGTCACTCTGGATCCCCTCTGAATCACTACTCAAGAAACACATGAAGGCTTGCATTTATGCAGGGCTGCTGTGAGCATCATTGAAATTCTATCAATGATCATGTGTGATGAATATAATGAAAAGTCTGGAGTGAGAGGGGAGTGGGTATGAATAATTGTCAGCAGTGTCATTATTCCTCCAAGAGAGCGTAAAACAGCCACAAGATCTTTTAAACCATTTCCACCTACACCTCAGGCCGCAGTGAACAGGATGGTACTGTATGGATTAAATGCACATGGAACACACACACTAGTACACTGTCGCACAGTTGCTTGCAGCTGGAATATATTTGCACAAAGCAGGAAAGAAATACATTAAAGATATCATTGTCAGAGCATGTCTTCATCCACTTAAGTGCTGGTGCGTTCAGGGGACAGCAGCATTGAATATGTTCAACTGTGGGACAAACACTAATCTCACTAGTCAAAGCAGTATAGTGTATTATATCTTCATATTGTTTATAGCTCTGGACTCACTGCAGTGATTCATTAGAAAGTTTATCTTGATTATTGTCTTGGAGTTCACAATTTAATGCTCCGGCCTCTCTTCTCTCTCCTCTCTGTGTTGCCAACTGCATTATATAGACAGCTTAAACAAAAGTAATCATATTTTTATGCCCTCAGCGTTTGGTGCAAAGATGAGTCTATTAATCATTCATCAGAAAATGATGAAATATTGGTGTTTATCCTGGAAAAATGCCAAATATTCTCTGATTTAAGTGTCTTGAGAGTGCAAATTTGCTGCTTTTCTCTGTTTTATATGATTGTAAATTAAATATCTTTTGGGATTTAGACGGCTGATTAAATAAGAAAAGTCATCTGGGAACTTGCCACCTACTGTACATTGTCCATTATTTTCAACATTTTTTAAGTAATTAAGCCGTTTTTTGCAAAAAAAAAAAATAGTTGATAGACTATCAAGTACTGAAGTGAATTGTTACTTGCAGCCCTATGTCAGATTTTTCTGACTGTATGCAGAACCAATAGAGTGCCCAAGAAATGAGTCCTAAAACCCGGAAATAAGTTAGCATTTTACCATTCCTGGTTCCCTTGTTTCAAAGTCAGTGGGTTTTTTTGAATGGGTTTTTGGTTAGATGCCTCAAAGAAGGTTTGAAAGAGACTTTCATGTTTTGTTCTACAACATAAAATACATCAGTAAATACCCCACTCGTGAATTTTGAAGCTTTTTTTGCATCTCAGAAAAGGTGGTTGCTAACAAGTAGCTAATTGAGAATCATCTACAGAACATCATCGTGCCGATCATGACTTTAGAGCTGTGCTCTGGGGGCGACGTTTAGACATGCAACCATGGTGTAGTTTGTTTATAGCTCAGTGTTAGCTTTCTACTTGTGGCGATTTCATTCAGGCTTTAAAAATCATGAAAGTGATGTTCATTCTTGAACATTGTCATGCTGAAGAAAACGTGCAAATATCATAAACGTTTGTTCAACATAGAGCTTGTTTTCGGCAATAATCCAAAATCCAACAAAAAAAATTCTATAGGCTTTTTGAACCAGGGAGCCAAGAAGATGCTAACTTCCTGGTTGCACCTTATAAATGGAAAGGTACTTAAGTCATAGCCATGCCCTTTGCCACACATAGCCTTTTTCTCACCAACATGGAACGGGTTCCATTACGGTTTCCACGCCCAAATTTGACCAGAGCTAATTACATTTTACATAATAATAATAATAATAATAATAATAATAAATCGGTTTTATATAGCGCTTTTCTAGATACTCAAAGACGCTTTACAAAAGAATACGTACAGAAACAGGCACTCAAACAAAACACTCAATCAAAGGACACTCAAACAAGACACTCAAACAAAAGGCAAATAAACAACACTATACACTACACTACAAAGGGACCACATATTAAGACAGAGAGCGGGTGGAGGATGAAACGGGGGAGGATTTTTTTAGATGTTGTAGGTGATCCTGAAGAGATGGGACTTAAGCTGGCTCTTGAATGAGGGGAGTGTGTCATAGATGACAATGTGCTCGCTAAAGTTCTGAAAATCATGAAATATCAGGTTGATAAACCAATGTTAAATGTGTTTTTGGGGCTTTTAAAAAGGGCGTAGGCTACTGTTTATAAACAGTATCACCAGTGAGAGTGAAAACCAACTCCAAATTTGCAGTATTTGCGTGTCAGATTTTGGCACTGTGACCGAGATTGTAAGCTTCCTCTCGGACACATGCTGCTCACAGTCTGGCACCCTTACCTTTTTATAAAGTCCCAACCTCAACTGCTTTGTGCCCAAGAACGTCCCAACCATTTGGTCTTCCACTGATCGAAAGTACAGCTGTTTGATCCTGGTCTGAAATATGCTTGGCAAGATACTGAGCCCCTAATTGCTCCTGATGGCTGTGCCATCGGTGTATGAGTGTGTGCGAATGGTTAACTGAGTAGACGGCGGCATCTTGTATGGTAGCCTCGGCCACCAATGTTTGAATGTGTGTGTGATTGGTTGAATGCAGCGTGTGGTGTAAAAGCACTTTTTTAAGAATAAAAAGGGGCTATACTAATGCAAACTAATCTAACAGTCCATTTCCACAACAACATAAGAAGAAAATAAGAAGATACAGGCAGAGGGCAGAGTCTGTGCAAAAAAATATACTGCCACACACTTCTAACGGGTCATAAGTGATGATTAAGAGGGATTACTTCTGTATTGAGTCTGTACAATGACTTTTTAGGAACATCCTGCATGGCATATCTTTAAAGATTAATCAAGAAAATCAAGTTTTAGCTCTAAAATCACAATGAAGTCATTCAACATTCAAAGTTGCACTGAAGTTTCTTCACTGATAGTCTTCATTTATATTTTAAGAAATGGCTTCAGACCATGAGCCAGCGTTACCCTTGTACGTCCTAACAAATGACCACATAGCTTAACTGCGTGTCACATCAACTCTATTAAAAGTCCCTTTTCGGAACTGTGAGGTCCACACAGATTAAATTGTACTTCAGCTCAACACCGCAAATAAATTATTAAATTTTGCCAAACCCAAGCTTTGACCACCAAGGTTATCTTAATTTCTTTTTCTTTTCTTTTTTTTTAACATCAGAGTTCTCTCCTCCACCGATTTGTTAAAGCAGTTGATTTGGAAGAACGGCTTTAAACTCAAAACCACTTAATGCTCGCATCTCGGCATCTCTCTGTGTCTCCCATTCTCTCTCCCCTACTAACCGACTCTACTCTAATATTGATATATTCATTCATCATTTATGTGTCTGATCATTAAGGGACTCCAAAAGTGTTTTTGTGTGCTGGTGTGTGTGTGTGTTTGTGTGAGTGTCCTTTGGGATTAGTTGCTCTCATCCAGGGTTTATGGTTTTATGCGTGGGGCTTGGTATGGTACCACTTACCGTTTAATAGGTCATCACAACAATGATATTGTGGCCATTGGGAGGCGTCTGCAAATAACTGGGTGTCTCGGAGTGAGTAAATGGGTGGATACGGGCATGGGTGTGTTTTTGTATGCGTGTCAGGAAGACAGAAAGAGATGTACAGATGTAAGATGTGGTGGTTTATCCAAGTAAAATGATGGTAATTTGGGGTTTTAATGTGCATACATGAGCTGTACTGTATATAAAGATGGCTGCAACTGGTGGATGGAGAAAATGTAACCCAAAGAAAGAAGAGATTGGGTATGGTACTTCTATAATGGCCTGTAATGGTTGACTCACAACTCCCATTATCTGTTTGGACAATATTCTGTCCATCCACATCATTACCCACATGCACACACACATTTACTGTACATATACTGACGCACAATTTCTCCGTCTCTCTCTCTCCTGCACTCACACTGGTGAACTTGGTGGGAGATCATTGTCTGAGCCCCCCTGATCGACTGTCTCCCTGGGATCACATTTCAGACCATTAACACCATTAAAAACCCACTAAAGCCACTAAAACCTCAAAGAACCACCAACCATTTAACCATTAAGACCGACAGGGAGGAAAAAAACACAGCCTCATCAGTCAGAGCACACTTTGTGTCCTGCTTCTGTTCTATTGAGATTTTAAAATCTGTTTTAATATGTATAATGTATTTTCACTTTACATTCATTTATCAAGCCAAAAAATGCAAAACATTCCCTGGTTCTAGCTTCTTAAATTAATGATGTGCTGTTTTTTAAACTGAATATCCTTGAATTCTTGATTGTTAGTCAGAGAAAAAAAGAACTTAAAGGACATCACCTTGGGCTCTTGGGAGTTCGTGCTGGGCTTTTGTCATATTTTATAAACAAAACAGTTAATTAATTATTTTTTAATAATCAGTATTGAGTCTTGGGGAATAAGATCCTGCACACTGCTTTTGCTCAGCATCATAGTTTATAGGTTATGCTAATGTTTCAATCCCTGTGGATCTTCATTGAGACTGCACAGTTTTTACAATACCGTGATTAGCACTGTCGCCTCACAGCAAAGGGGTTCCTGGTTTGAACTCCAGGGTGGGGGAGCCCCTTTGTGTGGAGTTTGCATGTTCTCCCCGTGTCAGTGTGGGCCTTCTCCAGGTACTCCAGCTTCCTCCCACAGTCTAAAGACATGCAGGTTAATTGATGACACTAAATCACCAGTAGGTGTGAATGTGAGTGTGAATGGTTGTCTGTCTCTTATGTGTCAGCCCTGTGATAGTCTGGCGGCACATCGGCCTTGCAGCTTTTATAAATCATTCAGAATTGTTGAACATTGTATATTTGTATGCACTACAAGTACACAATGTTTAACAATTTGTAAAAACTGTGTGAAATAATTTTAAAGAAGATCCAGAGGGACTGAAACATTAGTATAACCAATAAATTGTGATGCGGGATCTTCTTTTCTTAACACTCAAGTGACACTTTCCAACACACCTGCATCTGAGAAAGTTGGATGTGCGAATATGTTCTTTTAAAGAAATGCAATAATCAAAACAGACATGCTGTGACATGGTCAGGCAGAGTTTAGTGTATAATGACAGAAGGTAAGATGACAGGCGTCATTTCTTTTTGTTTGCCATTTTCTTTTAACTTAACACATCATATAGCAAAGATGATATTTATCCAGATAAACCAGCATATTGATAATCCTACATTCTGTACAAATGCCCCATGCTGTGTTTGGTTTTTGCTGTCAAGAAATGGGTTTCTCAAAAGTACATTTTCAAGGGCCATGAAACCCATTTCAGATGTTTCACTCTGTGAATTCAGAGAGCTCTTAGCTGCCTCCAGTGCCTCTGAGTTCAGCTCAGAGTGAAGCACAGTATAATGACAGTTATGTTCTACACTGTATACACAAGTGAAGATAAGGCTTTGTTTTAAAGAAGAGCTGCACAAATGTTTGTTTATATTTTCTCAGAGTAATGCATGCAGATATATATTTTTTTTAACTATCCATGAGCGTTAATGGTGCAGTGTGCCTGCTTTTCCAAAGCCCTGACACAATGTAGATGAGGCGTTGTGACCGTGACAGGCTCACTTACATCATTAACTTTCAGAGAAAAATTAATGACACTTTTATTTTGTTACCTAGCAGCAGCCCCACCACCTATGTGATGGAGGAGGACGAGCCGTCCTTTCTGGAGGCGATAGACTATAGCGCAGAGAGCAACGACGAGGACGCCGAGCCTGAGAACGAGCACGCCAGCGAAGCCCCGGAGATTCCCGATCAACTGTCGGACTCTGAGACAAATCACAGGGACTGATTTTATCTCCTCAATAGCTGGCAACGTGAGCGTATAACCAGCCAGTGCTTGGATTGTCAGCTGATCTAAAAGATTTCACAGGTGGAGTAGTCAGAACCCACTCTCCTCATGCTGGTGAATAAATAGCTTAGATTTACACCTGATCCAGTTATATAGACACTTTACGATGGTATGTCAGCTGCATTGAGGTGCTCCTCTCCCAGATGGATTGATTTGTCGGCCCACTGGAGCCGATTGTGTTGCTCAATGAATGTTCTCACCTTTCACTGTCATCCTATAACCTTCATGAACTGTAACCCCTGACCTCAGACACCATATAGCCTCTGAGATTCACTTATAGCTAGCCAGAGCAGCAAACAGCAGGCACCGCCGATCCTTAACTTGAACCCTTGTCGCTCATTTCCCACAGCTGACCTTACGCTGAAGCTATCTGACAAGGCTGTGGTAGTGTAATAAAGCCAATGGCTTCTCTAGGTACTGTTTCTGAAACTCCTCTCACCTGTCGCTCTGTGTTTGGTGAAAACACTCCCAGTGACGGAGGGAAACTGGATCTCCTCCACTGACCTCCACTGACCAGCCAACCAACCTGCCTTCTTATTTCCGTCTTCTCCGTACACTCACCCTGCACTTTAACTTTTTACTGCTTTTACCTGACACTTCCTTGTGTCCTTCCTTGCTTGCCTCCTTCCTTTTTTCCAACAAGCCAAGGTTGCGGTGTCTAAATGGGATGCGGGAATGACCAAACAGCTCTGTCATAGCTTAGCTGCAGGTTAACATCCGTCATCCCGGGCGTCTCGTGTAGAAAAACCCACTCAGATGTAACCTCACTTCCTCTATGTAACCCCTCCCTCTTCGGCCACAGTGCACGTGGTCCACCAATGTGCTGTTTGCCTCGCTTTATCCAAAAGTCAAACTATTTATATCACTCAAATGTAGAATGTTCACGTCTTTATCAAGACAAACCTTGTACTATACATGAAATGCAGATATAAACACGCACCACAAACTAACAAACACAGGTCTGGTTTGAGTTTCTCAGTCAGCAGTCAGAGCATAAAGACGGAATGTAAAATATCCACACGCACTGTTGGTGTTTTCATTGTTTTTAATAATAGACAGTATTATAACGTTAGATGAAGCAGTAACGAACAAGACGCATGAGCTGCAGAGAACAAAAAGAAACACCTTTTGCACTTTGGATAAACTCTATAAAAGCAAAACCAAGAGAAACAAACTGAATGAAACATCACTTCACAACATGTCACAGTTTGCAAACCTCAACTTCAGTCAACTTCAGTCACCTCATTAGTTTTGAAGCTCTCAGCCCAATGCTGGTGGTAACATTGCTGTGATGTTTTAAAAAATTATACTGGAATTTAGTTTCCTTTTTATCCTCAAATCTGTGTGCACATTTTGTGGATTTGCTGAGGAGAGACCCATGCATACAAACAGATGGTGCTTTGTAACGAGAGTTTAAAGTAGTTTGTTTGATTATTTCTTTATTTGTTTGTGGAGATGAGGTATGATTCTGTTGCATTTGTACAGCTAGCGCATGGCTACTTTCTGTTGTTTTTACTTTGTAATTTATTGAGTATTGTTTTCTGGGATGCAAACCTGTATGTATATGAGGCATTTTAAGTGTGTGAGTGCTAGTGTGTGTGTGTGTGTGTGTGTGTGTGTGTGTGTGTGTGTGTGTTCGCAGGAGTTTAAGTTATTCCATTATTCAGCTCAGCTAATGCTCTTACAGTTTGTTTCTTCTTTCAATTTGATTATCCTCTCACTCTCCTTCACTCCCCTCAATCATTCTCTCCTCTTCCCTCTAACCTCTTCCATTCTCTTGTTTTCTGTCTTTTAGTTCTACTTCCTTTCAGATTTTACTCAAGAACTTACGAACCCAGGGAGGTCATTGTTCTGGGCGTCTGCGTGTGTGTATGTAAAGGATAGATGATGTGAAAAAATGTCCCTGTGAGAATTGTGTGTGCTGTTATGTTTGTTTCTCTGTAGCAGTTTATGTTGGGGCGACTTTTGTTTTATGTTTATTTTGAGGTAAACAAGCAGCGATAGCAACTCATTTTAAGTTGATTGTAATGCAGAAAATTGACAAGTGAAGACATGGGAAATAAAATGTGAATGTGGTGAAACGTCTGCTGTATTTTATTCTTCTGAAACTCTTAAATTTGGTCAGATAACTGTAATGGACCCTAACTGAGTTATGGGGAGAATGTGCTGTGATTGGCAGACACAACCAGAAATATAAACAAGGAAAAATGTTTTCTTTCTTTCTGGGTCATATTTTGCTTTGGCTTAAATTTCACCCTCTGACGTTGGTTTGGATAATTCGGCTAAACTCGACTTTGACAAACAATCACTTGTGTTTTCAATACCCCGTCCTCTCCATTGTAAGTTTGTCCACAGTAACCTGGCGAGGGAAATGTCAGCATGACTGGGTTGAATGAACTATGACAATAATAATTTACGCATACTTTGAGTTTAGGCGTACAAGGAACATGTTTATGTTTAGATACGGTATAAACAATGTGATGGCTACGTTTACTGAACTCATCGGTATCGCATGCTCAAAGGGACAGTTCAGATTTTGTGAAGTGGAGTGAGATGAGGTACTAAATCATAGTCAGTGTATTATCTAGAGTAGATGATAATTGGCACGCCCCCAGTTTGGAGAAGCAGACAGGATTACTGCCACAGAGGTTAAGTAATGTACTGCTGATTTTTCCTTGCTGCTGGTCTACCGCTGCCTCATTAAGTTAGTATGTTTGTGTTATTGTGTGACTTAAATGTTTTAAAGGGTTAGTTTAGCTTTACCAAAGTCACATTATAACATGATCTAGCTAGACAGTCGAGGCAGTGGTAGACCAGCAGCTCCAGTGTTCTGCGAGGTAAAATCACTGTTTTTGTCAAAGGAGTCTGGTGGCTTTGAAGACAGCATAGATAACAGCTTAAGTTCTTCATTGGAAAGGGCTGTCTGACAGCAAGGTAAAGCAGAAGTTGCTGCCCCTGTCCACAGCAGTACATGGCCTAGCTTCCATGTTGGTACTCCCATCTGCTTCTCCAAACTGGGGCATGTGGACTGCCATCTACTGTAGGTAATACACTGACTATGGTTAAGTTCCTCATACAACCTCCTTTTAATGAAGGGATTATTGTTGTAGTGTTTGTTATGATAGCTTTATTGGAATGAATGTCTTGTGGGTGTGGTATAGGCAGGTGGTAGGGTCAGCACTGACATCACACTTGGGGGTTGGTGGTAATGACTCATTAGTCGCTATTAGCCACACCTGGAGGGAGAGCTGGAGAGGCCTTTGAGACACCAGAGGCAAGACATTCTGAAGACAAAAGAGACTGAGAAAGCGTTTGACACACCACCACAAATTATTCATGTGAATACACGTAAACCATGAAGAAGAGCAAGCTGGCCAGCCGACTGGTTCAACGGAACGGCTTCCAAAGGGTGTCCAGTGGAGTCGTCTGGTCGCGAGGAGCAAGAGTGGTGGCCTGGTGGTGAGTCAAACACACACACCCCAGATAGGAGATGTCACACTCACCCAGGGAAGTCCAGGCGCATGGCTCACATCTAATGCAACACGTAGGCAGAGGCACTTAGTTAAGGGCTTGCTAGCCTTAGCTGAGCTTCAAGAGCCACATTTAGCATAGCAGCGTAACATGTTGCAAATCAGGAAGTTGGTCACAGTACTCACATGGCCATTTGAAGCACTGCTGGTCACTGTAATTGCTCCTCCTGTCCATCATGAAAAGATCCTTCCTAAAGCCATTTGTCTAAATGATCAGGGACAAAATCCCAAATCCTCATTTCTAGGCAAAAGTTAATTTCAAAGTTCAACCAAATCTAACGTGAGTCAGACATTAACAAACAGTGGTAGGAAATAAATGTAACCACTTACATGTAATTAAATTACAAAATAAATGTAATTGTAATCAGTTACAGTTTCTGAGAAAAAATATGTAATTAATACAGTTAGTAATCTTTTTCCTTTTCCACCAAAATTAGCATTTTTATGCCATTTTTGTTTGTTTTTTATAAACGCCGGACGGCCTGCTTAAAAAATGGCAGTCATTTCCAATGATTGTTTGTAACCTCTCTCAGTGACAGCACCAGCTCTGGCTTACTGACATTTATTTTGCTTGGCTTGTTATTAGCTGGTAACTAGCTTCTAGCGGTCCAGACCACTCTGCAGAAGGAAGGATGGCGAGGCGTTCAGGTGCTGTTCACCAACAATAGCTTTTTTTGTAGTCTTCACCACAACATAATAGACATGGCTTTCTCATGAGGTTGAACAGTAGCAGAAAAGAAGCGACAATTTGCACATTCACCAAATTATCATGTTTCCATCACTGACGATCGGAGCTGCAGCAGATAAATACCTGTGACTACAGCAAAGTTATTTGTCCCGGGAATGAATGCCTATTGTAATCTTTCCCACTGAAGACGAAAGCCAGATATTAGTGGGTGTAGAGGGTGCCACTGCTTAGCGAGGAAATAATGTCCCTGGAAACAAAGCAGAAATCTGATTCAGAAACACTTACCATGGAAGATATTCAATTGATTTGAAGGCTCGTGTTAGCTTCTGCCGAAATTGACAGTGACATTACTTGAGAATTTCTGAGTGGACAAGAGGAACTATTACAGCAACCAATAACTCTTTCTATGTACATAAGGACATGTGAGTATTCTTTGAAGACAGACTTGAAAAAATGTGAATCTGTCCTTTAATAATGTCTCATGTACAGTCACTTATTCACTGTCAGTAGAGTAGGGTTTGAGAAACATTTACATCCACATATCTGTACAGCAAAATCAGCAACTCTTCAGTATTTTAAGGATTATCTATCTATCTATCTCCATTTCTCTCTCTCTCTCTCTCTCTCTCTCTCTCTCTCTAGAGGCAGAAGGGGAAATTATTTTCCTTTATGCAAATGTATTTTTGCGGGTGATAAAAAGATAATGTTCCTGTTTCCAGGCAAACGCAGCAGTTACACCGAGAGGGAAGAGGCTTCAAAAATCTGGTGATGTAATGTTGTGTCCTCAATCAACCTCCTGGCGTGCAGCAGCTCTCAGTTCAGTCTTGAGGGCTAGAAAATGATTTTATTTTTCTCACAGAAGCCATCAGGAGTGGTAAAATCATCTTGTTGTGTAGTTTCTACCAAAACTATGACACGAACCTGATAATTAACCTGTGAAACCACTGGTCGTGTCTACAAAGCTCTGTCTGGGTTTGGTTTAAGTTGATTTATTCCTGGGCTAATAGAGCATAAGTACATACTCAATCACTTCATGTCAGTGGCACAGTTGTATAAGCATTTGTTTAGCAATGTACCTCCGCTGCTTAAGTGCCCCCGTGTAACCTAATCTTTAGCTTTAGAGGAAACGAACAAGGCGAGAAAGCGGGTTAAAAAAAAGCCAGCACAAGCACATGTCTTTTAAAGAAAGTATTGTATGATGCTGAATAGATATAAATGGACAGAAGGATACAGAGGAAGAGGAGGAGAGGAAGACATGGCAGGGAGAAGAGAGAGAGAGTGAAAGCAGGAGCGGAAGAAAAAGCAGAGAGGAGGACGAGAGGAATTTGGAGAGGTGGAGGAGAATGTTAATCTGAGGAAGGCAGCAGGGAGAGAAAAGCTCTTTTACTTTCTAAGCCCCACGCCCTCACTTCCTGTCCCCACTGTCAATCAGAGCAGCTGAAGTGCATCAGACAAAAGACCCCCTCCCCCGCCCCTCCTATTGGAGGGTGCTGCAACCAGCACGACAAACACCAGCACCAACCATCCAATTAACTGCTCTGGTCAGAGGATGCTTCTGTAGGTTTGTCATGTTCATCAGAGACCCCTAATTAGAAATCTCTCTCCCTCTGTCTCACGCATTCACGCAGGCACCGTGCCCAGCCTCCATCCTCACACTGACGAGCTCATTTCTGTAGTCTAAGTGTGGCTCTGTGGGCCTCTAATAGCGTAGCCAATTAGTGCCAGTGTCCGACTTGGCCGCTTCTCTAACTCACTGGTGGTCCCACTGTGGGACAGAATGGCTCCAATGAAAAGGTACAAGTCCACAAAGAACGGCCTGACAAAGACGTGTGTGTATAGGCTGCATGTCACAGCAGCACACAAGGCTGGAAAAACTGTGTGTGTGTGTAAGTGTGTGTGTGTGTGTGTGTGTGTGTATCTACTATCTAGGGCTATTCATTTGCAAAAGAGAAAAAGTGGGTCCATGTGAGTGTCTGTGAAAATGTTTGCAGGGCATCTGATTTTAACGCGATGTGTTTGCATCTGTCATCTGTGTCAAGCTGTCTTCTGTCTGTTTATCACCAGCCACACACACACACACACACACACACACACACACACACACACACATGAGCGAACAAAACTCACCATGTTCGCACTGTTGTGTTTGAAGACTGTTTATAAAAAGCTGCACATGAAGGCTTGTAGCTCAACAAGAGCACAATTCAAAATGGCTCCCCCTACTGAGAGATGCTAGTGTAACCGTTTTATGGTTGTATGTATAAAAAAAAAGAAACACCCCGATTCAACACATGACATCCATTTTACAGAGAGCCTGTGTTACAAACTGGAGGTGTTGCGTTTGAAACAACTGGGCATTTAGGAAGCAGGGACGGTCTGATGAAAGAAGTTAATGTAGGATCTAGTCTTATTTGATCCTGAAGCCTTGAGTTCTGTCGCCATCTTGGTTTCTTAGATTAAGAAGTCGTCATATCTGGACAAGAGGTTGGCACTGCGGAGAAATGAGGGATGGATCTGACTGAGAAACCAGGTGAACTATCGGCAGACAGGCTGTCACTCAAACTGGCCTCCCCTTAATTATGCACAACTTTAAGCCTTAACAAAATGCCGTTCAGGCAGGTCACGGTGTCAAGCTCAGCTCACATCCCAGCTACATCAGCTGATCTCAAACAGCCCAATCACGATGAAGGTTTTTTCAAGCAACCAATAGGCAAATCACATTCTGGCCTGCCTACTGTCTCTGCTTCCTCTGCAAGCCGCTTTGCAACCTCCCTCCACCCCAGCTCCTCCTTTTCATGCTGTGTCTGACTTACGAATGACATTTCTGTGGGTCTTTGCTGCTGTTCTCCCTGCGTTAGGCTTTCCAT